ATTATGTTTATTCAAATATTTCAACCGAAATTCCTTGTTTAAATAGAAAAAGTTATTCAACCTAAAAAAAGATGGTCAGTTTACCTGTAAAATCGGGTGTATTTCAAAAACACGTTTTTTATTAAGTTAGTTCGCTAAAACATAAAATTTTTAGTAAACAATAGTATAATCTCCACAAATCGTTTCATAAAATATAATAAAAAAACAAATAAATATGGTACAATAAAATGTCATTATCGATGTTCAACGGGTTAGTAATATTTTTTTTAAAGTGCGTTTTTTTGGAACAATACAATTAGTAATAACTAGTTTTTTAACAATCAAATTAACTAAAAACTATTTAAAAAAATATGTACTTTTTTGTTTTTTAACATCAAATGACAACCGAAAATTTGCATATTTACTTGCAGAAATCGGGACAATTAGCAAAGAAATAACAAAGTGGTACGAAAAGTTTGACATTACAAATGTTTTTTAAACCGCGAGGAGTATCGTTTTTCTGGACAAGATTAAAATTCAAAAAATTACACTGAGTTTGTACAGTTGTCTATCTTTATTGTTAAAAATCTGGAATTCTTTTATTATACTCACATGTCAAAGGCTCATCCAAGAAAGTCTTTGACGTTGGATAAACTCGCCCCGAGTCCATCGTTCGTCAGTACCAATTCTCTCTCTGTCGAGTTCTTCTCTACCCCACGACAACCTTTGGCATCGCCGCGATTGCCAACACCCATCCGGGGCAGAGACTCCTCTTCGTCCCCAAAGCTCAAAATGTTCAAAATGATGGGTGAGTTGTCAAATTACTTTCGCTCGAAGAAAGACCGCTCACCATCCCCGTCGACAGACGACACCGAACAAACAAAAGTTGTTCTTAAGATTTTGAAAGACGAATACAATGTCGAAGAAAGGCTCACAACTTTAATAGAGAAAAACTTTGTTGGTGTTATTCAGGAAAATCCTTGTTGCTGTCCAAATAGCAGAATTTTGTATTGGAGCTTGTCTGGCGCAACAAGAGAAATTATCAGCATACTTGTCGCACTTTATAAACAGTCGGACATCAACGAAAAGGTGGTTAAAGGGATATTATTCGGTGTGTCTTCTTTTACTGCGCCTCAAGCGCTATTTTATTCCAACATCATCTTGTCACTCGATAAGATGAAAGAACCAATTGGTGAACCCACGTACGACATGAACGGGAAGATTATCACACTCACCCCAAAGTCGTTATTTTATTGTGCAATTAATGAGATAGAGGGTGATAAAATAATGAATTTGTTTCTGTTCTCGTTCCGCTTTTGGGACGACGAGAAGGTAGTGTTGGAGTGGTGCGAAGAGGAGTACACCCATTGTGTGGTTGAATGGGAATTGGGAGAGGGCGTTAAAGACTATTTGGGTCGTATTGAGAACATCATGTTACATGTACTTAAGTACTCGAAAATGAAGGACGAAGTGCTAAAGGATTACGTAGAGAAGTATGTGAACGACTCGAGGTTTTCCAAGTATTTTATAAGTCGATTGAATGAAGAGTTTTACCAGAAGAATACAAATTCAGACGTGCCAATCAAAGAGAAGAAGAAGAAGCGAAAAGAGAGGAGATACATAAGTCAGAGCGAAGAGCCCGAAACGGCTTTTATCAACGACGAAAAGGAGATTGTTATAGTACACAAGAACAATTTGATGGAAATCCACCCGAAAATTGTCGCGCAACAGATGGCAATTTTCGACGAGTGGAATTTCCACCAGATTGATGTGAAGTCTTTTGTGTTTAATGAGAACAACGAACAAGTCAATTTGTACAATCGTCGCATTCAGAGTGTGCTTCAAATGGTCAAAGCTCTTTTGGTCGATTCAAAAGCAATGAAATATTTCATCCAAGTCGTCGAATACTTTGTTGAAATGAAAGAGTACAATTTAGGCTTTGAAATGATGAAAGTGATCGACTCTGTTCTTGAAACAAAACCAACTGAAAACATGTGTGGTAGTGACATTCAAAGTGATTGGGAACAAATACACCAGTTGTTCTCGCACTACAAAAATTATAAAATGTATCGTATTGACCTCAGCGAAGTGCCAGTTGGAGTGCCAAGAATCCCAATCATACAAGTCTGGATCGAGGATACAAAGAGCGTTGAGTTGTCGTCGATATTCAACTGCGAGCAAAAAACCATCGACATGTCGTTGTTGGTTGAGGTGTCGAAAACAGTTTCAACACTCATACACTCACAACGGGTCAGCTTTCCATTCACTTCAAATTCGTGTTTTCAGTTTTACTTCAACTCTCTTTTGTAATTTATATTGTTTGATATTGAGTTATATTTTTAGTGTTCACTTCTTTAAACATCGCAATGGTACTCTGTTTGAGCACAATTCTTACTTAGTAATTTAACAACAAATGTGTGTATTTAATTGCTGATAAAAATTGTTTTCTCCTTTTATAAGTGGGTGTTCAACAAACAATAACAAAGTTGGATGCAAAATATTGTAAATAAAAATCTTGATATTTTCTGAATTTGAACTTTGTATGGATGTTTGCTCTTACAATGAAAAAAGATATTTTTTAGTATCATTTATGCAGTTGGGTATTTGTGGTTCTTTTATATTTCCATTTAGTGATAAAAATGTTACAATAGACAATACAAGGAAAACATTAGTTAAATATGCCTTGTTGTTATTTTGACCGGACTTTTATTACACCAATTAAAATGGGATTAATTACTAGTGTTGAAACCAGTTTCTTTTTTAATTGAAAATAGGCTGAAGAAATTGGAAACAGCCCCAATATCGTTCAAAAAAATATCGCAATTGTGTTTCCTTCGACACATTATATAAAGTTTTCTTGTTTTATCAACCATCATAACTACCATTGATATAATATAACAAATCAGTATAAAAATTATATAATAAAGAAATTGGTTAAAGAAGGCGGAATTTGACTCCAAATAATTTACACCCCCTCCAATTTATCGAATAATGTTTTTGAATTCTTTTTTGTGAATGAGCAACTTTCCTTTTTGTTTGAATAATTGACATTACATACCAAAAAGTGGACACGTTTGACAAATATCCAGAGATTCCAATGTTATTGTAAATTCAACGCACTTTTGTAATGCCTATGCTATACCACTTTTTAAATCATTAATAGAACACTTTTGTTATAGTCTTTAAATAAAGAAAGCGTGTTTAACTTCAAAACAAATTAATAAAAATCAATAAGAATTTGCCCTTAACAACTTTTTATGTTGCAACACAATTGATAGAACTCTTGTGTTATGTGTTAAAGGTAGAAAAATAAAAAGAAACATACACTAAATTACTTGAAAGTATTCCGTTGAGACCGGCAAAAACACACTAAGGAATGTTTCGCTCTTCTGTATTGCTTTTGCCTCTTGTGAGTTTAATACTTCCTTTCGCGTCTTTTCTTTTTGTTTCACTTCTTTTGTCTTGGAATTGGCTCTTTTGATCACACGCAATATGTGCGAGCAAAACCGGTTCTTCACGGAGTTGGGAGCCCGACCTGGTAAATACTTGCTGATCTCCGTCCACTTGTTACCAATCTCTCGTTGGAGCTGGATAATCATATTGTCTTCTTCAACACTCCATTGCTTTTTGGTGACGTTCTCAGCCAAGTTATTGAAGTACCGTTCTCTGCACTGTTTCCTTGACCGGTTTACCACACCCTCAGCCACTGTATTCCAGTCATTCTCGCCATAGACTTGGACGCCTTTCAATAAGATGAAGTCTTCTTCCTTTGTCCATGGTATAATTGTCTTCTTTATCTTTCTGAAGCGTGACTCTTCTGAATTTTTCACTACAACACATCTCACAGGCGTCGACATGAAATGGCAGTTTCTGAGTTCATTTCGTCCTTTTATTTATCTCGACGACTTGTTTATAAATATTGGTATACTTTTGTTGTTTCAGATTTGCTCAAAACGTTAAAATTCGCTTTTCCAAGTTCAAACATTTTTCTATATTAAGAAATACGCTATTTGTTCACCATTCGCTTTTTTACATATTTACTATTCATAAATAGATTTGTAATTATCATTTAATGGTTAATTTGACAATGGGTTGAAAACACACAAACTACTTTTCTTCGAAAACTTTGGAATTTGCCGCCAATCAATGCCACACTTTTACTTTAAAACTATCTATAAGTTATAGTACATTTATTTTGTTCTTTGCCACTTGGTCACCACAAGTCCAAGAAATCCTCGGCCTTTCTTAATTCCATAATAATGACCCGCAGCAAGTCAAAAAGTCCAAATAAATGAATTTGGAATTGCTTTGTGGACATTTTCGGCTTTTGCGAATCGAATGGAATTGGTCAACCCCAACAATTGCCCAATAAAGTTAATTTGAGAACTTGAACTCGATTTTTTTTGTAATGATGATAAACAGAAAATAAAAACTTGTGCTATTACTCCAGCCCACTTTTAGCTTTGGAAAACAAATGTCCTTTGGTCGGTTTTTAAAGGAACCATGTTCATTTTAAAAACGCGTTTTTGTCCGTTAAAAACGATTCCAGTTGTGCGTTTTCCTGAAAAATCGGGAAAAAGTCGTAAAAAATTTCGGCGTAATAATTACAATCGAATTTTATATTGTTAATGTTTTGTGTTGAAAATTATACAATTATAGTTCTTTTACTATTATACATTATTATTTCTTCTCAAAAATGTCGGTGAATTAGGTTATTAAAAATGTTGTGGGAGAGTTATATATATTTGGGGTTAAATTGTAAAATGTGAATGTTTCGGGCTATAATAAAATTATTTTATGGCGATTGGAAGAGCTATTCCACGAAAAAGTTTGTGTAAATGATATTTTTGGTTGATACTTTCAAAAATGAACAAAAAGTGAGTTTGAAAAGAAACACCATTATGTTTGTTTAATGTAAGTTTCTTCGTCCCGGAATCTTTACCACTTCAATAAGAGAAGAGTTAAGCACAAATTGTTTTAAAACCCTTAAGCAAACCCTTATAATTTATACTCTTCTACAACAAACAGAATAAAAAACAAAAAACAAAGTCCACAGTTTACAGAAATGCAACTTTGAAACGTTGTCTTTTAGAAAAGATATTCAAAAATATGTTATTCTAACATAAAATCACAAGGAATTCTCTGTTTAAAAATATTTTTTTCACACCTAAATTTTAATTTATTAGAAATATAATAAACTATATAATTAATTTAATACATTATTGATTAAACATAAAACCGATTAACTATCTGATTGTTTTTGTAACTACAATACGTTATTTAACCTTCAGAAATTTTATATTTCAGCTTATGGAGTTAAATTAATTGAAAGTATGTTTAATTTATAATTTATAACAAAAAATCCCATTAAAATAAAAAGTCGTTTTATTTTTGATTAACCATAATTTATTTTATTTGAATTTTTTTTACCTTTTATTTGTTCAATAAACCAAATAATAAAGTCTTACCTTTTTCCCTCATTAAACTGTTCGACAACTTGTTTTATATTTTTCAAACAGATTTATTTTTAAAAATAAAAATGAGGCATTCATTTTATTAAAATGATTTTATAATCAAGATTTATTAAGACCTCTTCTTGTTTTGGTTATTTCAGAATAAAAAATTTTTAGTACTTATCTGATATTAATTTAGTTAAACTGAACAAACAAATTATTACAGCTTGCTACTTTGCTTATTTATGTTAAAACATCTATGATTGAGCTTTTGATTACTGTTACAACGTTGTTTTGTTTAATACTATATCTATATATTCATACTCTGTTTGTATAGTCTTTTATTCTTCATACCCAAGAATTTTATTAAGAATTATTAGTATCGAAAAACGCTAATAAAACGGGTAAAAAATACTTTATAGGTACGAAGCATAATAGTCTGTATTCAATTATTAATTTTCTATAAACAAACTATTATAAATAATTTTTCTTATTTATTGTGATGAAAAATAATTATTAATTCTAATAAATACATGACGAATTAATATACTCTTTTCAAATACTTTTGCATTGATAGCTTTAAACCAAACTTATAATCAATTAATTGTATGAAAATGTTAATGTATAAACTTCAAGATTTGATTGTTCTGTTCAATTATAAAAAAAAGAATGTATTATTCATTTGATTAAATTCAATAAAATAAAAACAAAAGTTTGTTACATCTTAACATAGTGTGTCTGAATGTGCGTGTCAATGATGATTCGATTAAACTCTTTTGAACAAATTGGACACTCAATCATCTCAATTGCATTAGTGTCCTTTACGGATACAAGCGTATGTAATACCGGAGTCTTCATTTCTCCATTATTTACAACGGGAGGTACGGCTCGAATTGTGCTGATTGTTGGTTTTTGTTTTGGCGCCTGAAATCCTCTTTCAAGCATATTATGTCGTTTCAAATGATCCAAAAGCTCATCGGGGTCGAGAGATTGTTTGCAAATGACACACATTACTTTGCCGGGCTGCACCATTTCAATGTTTATGTTTTGAAGTATAGGTATCGACTTTGTTTCACCTTCTTGTTCAAGTTGTGTGTTTCTTTCTTTCGTTTCTTGTTGTTGAGAGTCTACGGATACACTTTTGATCGGATCCAATTTGTCAAGTCTCTCGTTGCATTGCTTAAGTAGTTCGAACAAAGAAGTTTGATTGTTTGACTGTCGTTCAAGTCTGATATCAAATGCATTTAACTCTGTCGCAAGTTTTGTTGTCGACAGGGTAAGTTCATTGCCCTCTGTCTGTAGCTCCACCAATGAGTCTGACATTATCAACTTTATTAGATTCGTCAAGACATTTCTATTCATCACTTTTCTTCTAAAATTATAACTTATAATAGTTAGTTTCTTAACTATTATATTTTAATTGTTTTGGAATAGATTCATTGAATAGAATTCATTTATTATGAAAAACAATTTTTAATTAAAAAAAATGTTTAGCCATAATTACAATGGTATTTTAAAACGATATTTTATTATATTTTTATTATAATACAAATTATTATATTTTTGTAAAAATCAAGTTGTCAATACAACCATATTTTTTAACAAAAAATTAATAATTGATAGTTTTTCAAATAATATATTAATTCAACTGAACAATTTATTTTTGGTCTATTTTCAGACTGTTGTTCCCATCTATTTTTTGACTCAATTGAATTATAAAATACAGTAAAAAGTATTATAATTTATAATACACATTAACAAATAAGAAAGTTGTTATACATATGAAAAACTCCATAAATACAGCATGCAAATCACACCGATTGACCCCGACGTTTTCGAGGAGGTAGTCTCGACGCTGAAACAATTTAACGACACACTTAAGGTCTACCAACATGACTCATTTTTGCAGAAATACGTCAACTCCAAAATAACAAAGCAGCAATATCAAGACAACGAACATCTCCCAGTGCTAAGCGAAAAGCGCGCGGAGCTTGAAAAAATCGAGAACGTCATATTACTCTTGAAATCCACGCAACAAGTCATTAAGAAGACAAAGGAGGTATTAAACGACTTTGTAACTATCGAGGAGCGCTTCTGTGCGTCGTCGAAGGAAAAGTTCAACACCGAGCTCGACAATGCATGCAAAGCACTTTCGACCATCCACAAACATAATCCGAAGACAAAAACCCAAATCGTCGACACCCTCAAACTTATGAAGTTTGTCGCACCAAAGAAAATAGTCCCGACACTCCGTGACAGAGAAATCCTTTCACCGACATTTTCAACCGAACTATACGATAAAGAGAAAACGTCTGCTCGAGAACTCTCCCTTTCAAGTCTCCCAGTTGTCACTCTAAAGACTGGAAGAACAAAAAAGACAAGCGACGGTGATTCACCAGAACCGACAACAAGTCGTACACCAAGAAAATACTCGAACCCCGTTGTCGGGTCTCTCGTAGTCACTGGAAGGAAGAGAAGTTCGTCGAATGGGTCTTCGCCGTTGTCGGAAGACATCTTGGAGTTGGATCGATTTATGAAAGTGTTAAAGGAGTGGGCGGGCGCAAAGAGTGTGACGAAAGTGTTTGAGTGTGATACGCAAAATGCATTTCATCGTGAAGAATGGAACAAAAGAGTAGTTGGAGATACCCCGTTTTATACAGTGTTTTACACCGAGTCACATTTGTTTGGGTTTTTCTTCTCAGGCGGAGTTACTGCGACAGAACGGTACTTCCCTGATACCCGCCACTTTGCATTCAAATTGCAATGCAAAAGTGGATGTGAGCCGACGAAGTGGTCATTGAAGAAAGGGAAAGAAAGGTATGTGTTGAGTGTAGAAGGAGAGAGGAATGAGTTGTTGATGAGGGTGGGATATAAAGAACACGTTGCGATAGGCAAAATTGGGGAATTAAAAAGTGAATGTGTGGGGGTGTATGAGAATTATGTTGATATGAAAGAAAACTCACTGACAGGAAATGAGTGCACAAAATTCAAAATTGTGAAACTTGTGGTTGTTAGCGTTGAAACGTGAGATATGGCTTTCTTCTTCGAGTTCAATTGTAATTGTATTCTATTTAAATAGTATATTCTATTTTAACGATTTATTCTTGATTTAAAGAATAATAAAAAACTGTTGCAATGAAAGTTTTTTTATTCATTATTTTAATTTTTAAATTCTATTTTTGAGGCAAAAAAGAAGATACTAAAAATATACTAAATGTATTGGTTCTAGAAACTAATAAGCAATTTTGGGGATGTGTATACACAACTACGCTTTTTTCCCACATTTCATCATCTTTGAATCATTTCGGTTTGTAAGAGGAAAAAATGTCGATATCTAATGGCTATGTTATGCCCATTAAACTTTTTTACAAATTTTTTAACAATTTCATGTGGAATGGAGGGAATAACATTTTTTGCTAGAAAGTGTCCACATCTTCAAATTTTATAATAAATCAATGAAGAATTTAACAAAAAATGTTAAAAAACGACGGATATGGGGGTTTCAAGAAGTTTTCATTTGAAAGAAAAGATATTGAATGAGATACCGAAATAGAACAAGAGAATCAAGAATAAAAAGAGAGATCTCATTATAGTCCAATCTCCACCAAGAATGGAAACGATAACTCGTAACCAAACGTTTTCGCTGATACAAACCCGTTCAAAAGATTTACACGCTGCACTGAAAAACGCAAAGACTGTAGTCACTTTTACACGAGAAAACTTAAGCGAATACGACCAAAGTGAAGACAGAGACAAACAAGAACTCGACGAACAACAACTTGGCGTCAAAGTCAAAGAACTGAAAGCTATGAGAGAGAAGAGAGAAGAGATGTTAAAAGAGTGTGAAGCGATGAGGGATAACTTCAGAACGCTTGCTGATGAGGTCGACGAATTGATTAACCTTGAATATAAGAACGTCGACGAAATCGCGACCTGCGGAAACTCTCTTGTTGAACAATTCTTGAAGCTTAAGTACTCCCGAATCTTTTTGAATCCAGAAAAGGACGCAATGGACGCTTCGAAGCTTAAGAAGTACACGAAAATTAAAGAAAGGTGTGACTCTCTAGTCATCCCATTGCACTTCCCACAACAAGCGAAACAAAGTAAAAGCACTGACGAACGAAGTGCTATTCAAACACACAAAACTCACGCAAGTTTAATTGAAGTCAAGTCACCAGTGCTAACGAATGACACATACCAACAAAAGCGAATTTCTTTGACAAGTGGGATGAGTGGCGCAAAGCTGTTACAAGAGCTGAATATCCAAGAAGACGATTCGGAGAAGAGCGAAACACAACCAAAGATCCAAATTCATACACAACAAACAGAGTCTCAGTTAACAGAAGAACACTTGGGAAACAAGAAGGAGACTAAAGACGACGATTTCGTGAGGAACGAAAAGAGCCCAAACGACTCAAATGGCTCTGATGATGAAATTACTAAAATGAAAAAGAAGAGAAGCTATTCCGTTCGACTCCCAAGAAGTGTATTAACAGACCGACCGATTGAGTTGAAAGACTTTCCGATGGATCAGTTAAATAGTGACATCAAACAATTATACGAATGGACGAAATGCAGTGAACACCAAGTATTGTACGACTCGAAAAATGCGGAGACAAAGGTCTCTTTACTCAAGTGTGCAGTCAATCTGTCGTTCCTTTTTATCGCCGTTGTATATCAGAGAAACATGTTTGGCGTGTTCATTAAGAAGCCCATTGATGGTACGCCGAACCCGATGAACGACCCGTGGCATTTTAGTGTTTCACTCAAAGAAGGCGAGGAACTGAAGAAAATGATGCCAAAAGAGGACAAATGGAAGAACGTGTTCACCTTCAAAAACAACGCAAAAGAGCTTTTTGAGTTGGGAGAGGGTGTTGTAGTAGTTGGGACTATAGGAGAGAAGATTACCTTTGGCAATCTCACTGGATTGTACGAAAGCACTGACAAAAATATAGTTAACAGTCTCAAAGGGAAAAGCGCGACTGTAGAGAGAGTTGTTGTTTTACAACTGTTTTGATTTATGTTGTGTTATCGTAAGAGATTTGTTTTTAGTCGATTCAATAAAATGTCCAATAGAAAGAAATAGCGAATTTCAATATAGTTTTTCGTATAGTATTTATTATAAAAGTACCATTTTTTCATTTTAGAATTTTTACCCACTGAAAACATAGATGATTGGACTTCTACTACTAAGTACTACAGCTTTTGGGTATTTCTTAAATGTGTTCGACACAAAGATAGCAAGGACGAAATACGGTGATGAGTTCAGAATTAAAGGAATCACGTTTAATAACAACTGTCGACTTAATGTATCTGTTGGAGAAACGGACCATGAGCTGGGGGACTATTACGAAGTTGGAGACATAGGGTTTAATACGGTCAGGTTTTTGCTGAGTTATCGATTCTTCGAAGATGACAACGCACCTTATCAATACAAAGAAAGTGTATGGAAATGGATAACTAACGAGATAGAAGCTGCGAAGAGATACGGAATTAGTTTGATACTTGAGATGGAAGTCCCACAAGGAGGAATTAGTGATGCAAAAGAGTATCTTTTGCTCGACCAAAGTAAAATAGACCGATTCTATAAGCTTTGGGTCGAAATTGCAAGACGATTTAAAAAGTCGAAGACCGTCATAGGCTTTGGACTGTTAAATAAACCCATTGGCGTGTGGAGAGGAAGTGCAGAGGCGTCTATTCTGCATTATAAAAATTTCTTTGAAAAGGCGATTGAATTGATTCGAGAGGTGGACACAAACCATATCATATTCTTCCAAAGTCCTAATGTGTTTTACACTCAAAACTTTGTCAAAATGCGTTCGGAGTTGGATAAGGAGACGGGCAATTTCGTCTTGTTAAGTGATGAGAAAGTGATCTACGAGACTAACTTCTATGAACCACTTTCTTTCACTCAACAGAACTCGAAAAGTGAAACTGAAGACTTTACTGGAAGGTATGTGACATACCCCGACTATTCAACACTCTTTGCAATAGGTGGACCAAACCCAAACAATAATATTGACAATCAAATTACACAAATGAATACACAGCCAGAGGTGGGTGTATGGAATAAAGTAGGCGCTCATTTTAATTTGTTATGTAGTGGGAGATGTCCCGAGTCCATATTGAGTTTAGTGATACATGTTGATTCTATTGGAGAGAACGGCTATGTGGTATTCAAGTTGCTCAAGATAAAAGAGTTCTCAACATCGGAAGAGATACATGGAATACACAGACTTGAGTTGAGTGATAAAAATGTCACATTTGAGACGACCAATGGGGGAAATTACACTTTTATCCAGAACTGTGATGACAAAGGAAATGTCTGCTTGAAGATCTATGGCGTCAAAGGCAAGGCAAAGTGCTCGGGTGCTGCTCTATTGTTAGGAAGTACAACACGATTGTATGACTTTGAGATTGAAGTGTATGTCCAGACAGATGAAAAGGTCTATGAAGTGTATCCCATCGTGCAACAAATCAAATACGACAAAGCATTTTACTTTGACCGATGGTCTTTGTTCAGGTACCTTGATCAAGCCCACAAATTTAAAACACGAAGATCAGTCCCCATGTTTGTCAACGAATTTGGAACAAACAAAGATTCTTTTCTTCAAGGGAGAGGTGGAGACGTGTGGGTGGTGGATGCTTTTGATGTGTTTAATCAGTACAAAATGCACTTCTGTTATTCCGAATACCATGACAACGTGTATGGACTCTACCAAAGCGATTCAAATACACCAAAGAACTTCTTGAATGAACAATTGAAGTACTCGTTCCTCTCGAGACTTCCGTTGTTTGAATCAGGTACTCAAGGTATAGTCTTCTTCTTTAGAATTCTCATTATCTTCCTCTTATAGAGTCCAGTAATTAAAATAGTTCATTTATTATTTATTTGTTAAATGTGGCTTACCAAGCTTTTGGGAGGCTCAAACATAGAGGGACCACTCCTCTTCTTTGTCATCCCAGGGAAGTAACTGTATCTGATATGTACAACATAGGTGATATCTCCCGTGTCACTCTTGATTGCGTCCACTTTTGCAATATGTTGCAAACTGAATGGCTCGACAAATGGATCTCTGGAGAACTGGTCGATTTTCCACACAGAGAAATGGTACTTTGGGAAGCTACACTTTCCAGTTTGGATCCACTTGTTCAGTCCTTTCACAACAAATTTCCGGAGTAAATTTTCAGTGCAAAATGGTGGCAGATTGACAGAGAATGTTGCAGTGAAGTCGAAGTTCAAGGAACAGTCGTTCACAAAATTGACTTTGACAGTGTACGTGTGCTGCACCTTTTGGTCTTCCACAAAGGAAGCAATGTCAAAAACAAATGGATGTTGTCCCCAATTGATTTCAAGCTTCTCAAATGACTCAATGGATATCGATGGAAAAAAGTCCTTTTTGGCATTGTAATTGTACGACAGCAATTTCGTCCCATTCTTCGTGAAAAAGAGTTCATCCGCATTGAAATTGTAACAACACCCAATGACATCGCCTTCATGATAATTCGTCGTGTTGTGTTGAGTGCCATTTTTCTGTGATAAGACACATCCACTTGAGGAGTGATATCCAATCGAGTGCTCTTCAGTGCCAAGGTGGACATTTTGTGTTGGCACTTGACACATCCCAACACATGCAACGGCGGCCTTCCCCGTCATTTTTGCCTCAAAATAGAACACGTCTCCAACTTGAGTTATGATGCCATTCTTGTCACTGATAAATTGTTTCCAAATCCGCTTAATAATTGGATGTTCTGAGTGAACTAAATACACAAATTTCGACTTCAAATCGCCTTGAATAACGCCGTTATACTGTGTACCCAATTCTGTCACAAAATTGAGACTTTGGATTTCATATCCGTCAAACAACAACTCATCAACTTCTGGTGCAAAAGTGAGTCTTCTCAGTATATGTTGTTTCTTTGATAACTTCCTTAGCAGTCGCTGTTTGTTCCTTTCTTTCTCTTGTGTTTCAACACTCTTTTTGTACTCATAAAACTCGTTCTGAAGATTCTCGAGATCTTTTTCTAATATTTCCACACGCTCTTCTACACTAAAACAGATGTCCATCAACTTAAGTTGTTTCTAATTAACTTTCTAAGTTAAAAGATCCAATCAGACAAACAACAATAATTTTAATTTAAAACAACTATAATAAACTATTGAATGGACGTTGAACAAAAAAATCAATCAGTTCTCATCCATCTTCGTCTCCGGTTGCATGAGTCTGCTCGATCTCGACGCGTCAAAGTAGAGCTCATACATCCTCTGGATATCGATCGTATCAACAACCTCTTCTCCTCTCTTTTTCGCTTTGATCATCGCCAACGAGATGAGTTGCATGGCATATCTCAGACTCGCGCCTTTTGCAGTCTCTTTAAGGGCGTCCAGAGCTCCAGCAGTCAGTTTGACTCCTTCTTCCTCTGCTCTGACACTCAGAATCAGTCGTATTTCATCCAAAGTGTATTCTTGAGTATTAACTATGATTAGTCTATCCAAGAAGTCGCCTGGAATACCATGTGGAGAGACTTCATTCGTTCCTCTAATCTTCACATTTCCTCTATTAGTTGCCATCACCATAGTTGGCGACATTTCCTGTTCAATCGCATTATTCAAAAATGAGAAACACTCCAAATCTAACATATGAACTTCATCGATGAACAAGACCCCAGGTACTATCTCAGCCTTTCCAGTGGATACCCACTCGCGAACTCGCTCATCTATGCGCGATCGGATCTCCGCAGAAATTTCTCCAGTATCGCCAGCAAACAACGAAAGGACTCCTCGAGCCTGAGAATTGATCACGTCGATTTCGTGGAGGGATACCGTATGTGTGACACTCTTTTTTTGTTGCAACTCCCCTTCGGGGGTTGGCACAAATTTCACAGTGGAGTCGATGACCTCGAAATCTTTTGATCTCGATGCTGAGCGGCCTAACAC